GAGAATTATCTATTGGGCTGGAAAGTTTAACTCTCCGAGCCAACGCCAGCTTGAAATTCTGACTGATCATCGATTTCTATGTTCAGTTAGTTTCTTGCAGTTTTTTCAAGGAAAACTCTTTGAAAGTTTGGTTCTTTACTGTTCATATTTTTTTATTTGTCATTTCTAATTTTGGCACTTAATCTTTTTCCAGAAGAAGGAATAAATCCTGCCTTGAATCTATGCTTAACAATTTTGCCAAAATAAAAAAAAATACATTTTAGCTGTGAGAAAAGTAAAATCTGCACTATTTTTACAGCTTAACATAAAATAAGTGGGTTTTTCAGAAACTGTTCTAAGAAAATAACATCTTCAACAGCTTGAGAGTAGATTAAAGTTCTCTAAGCTCTTAAGTCTATAAATTTAAATATAATTTAAAATTCAAAATTTACCACCACTGCGTTTTAATTGTACTTGTTAATATTCCTGATTTTTATAGAATTTATGGTGTTCTCGATTGATTGAAGGAAATATTTTTAAAAGTATCCAAATTGGAGCTTCTATATCGACTGCCAAAAAACTGCAACATTTTTTTTAAATCTCTAAATCTGTTCGCCTTAAATGTGTCTAAAAGTTTAAATGCTCTGTTGCAAGCATGCGGTAAATATCAGTGGAGCAGAGAAAAAAATCAATTCCACATTGATTTTGAAGATGATTTAGATTTTAGAAGATTAGATTTGATAGCAGTGTACCAGACATTTATATATGAACTGTAAGTTCTAGCATTAAAATAATAATATTTCGATCTTTTTGCAAGTATTTTTAAATGAAGCGTTGGAAATATTTCGAAGAATATTTAATGTCTTCTAAATTGACATCAGAATAATAATAGTAAATTGCATTAAATTCCCATTTTTAAATAACTTTTAAAGTCGTCTATTAAAAGTTATACCATTTATTTTAAATTCACTTTCACGCCTCTATGGGGTAAATCAAGATTCAACTAACCCGAGCCTATTCAGCGACCATAAAAGGTTTAATTTCCTTTTAATTCTGGCGATTTCAATGCAGCAAAGTTAGTTATTGAATCATGGAACGCATTTTCCTGGCAAACAAGCTGACACTTCCTTCCTTGTTAACTGATTAGAAAATCAGCAATGACATGCAAATAGACGCAAATACGTTTTTCGTGAAACTGAAAGTTGAATTCATTTGTATTTTGCGTTTAATGAACTGATAATAATTGCTGTTTGAGCATTACATACAGTCTGCACATTGAGTGAGAAATACTAATATAAGTTTGTTGGAATATTGAAAAACTCTAACAGAAAATTAAAAAAAAGACAAAATAGCAACCCAAACAAATGGAAGCTGTTTGGCGATACAATTTATATGAATGTGGTATTTTTTCCTCAATATTTAAAGATGAGCATTGCTTGTTTGTTCTCATTTCAACTAAAACGTTTCAGATGGAAACACATTTTCTCAGATTTGAATCACGGGGATTTTGAAAGTGGATAATTGTAAACTATGTGTAAAATTTGTTAAACAGTGTTGAGATCGTAGTTCTGATAAAGACGAAAAAACGGTAATAATACGTCAACCGAAAATGAAAAAAACGATCTTTTAATGAATGCAGAACACATTTCTGCTGCTAAACATGAAGTTTTTAAATCACCAGAACAGCCATAATAAATAGCTAAAAGGCAGCACTGTTCCAGATAAAACACATCTGAAAGTTTGAAATGTTTTATCATCCCATGAGCAACTTTTACATTAACAGAGGATGCTACTTTGCAGAATTGTGCGCATTGCGTAATAAGGAATTCCAAATGGATGAGAGACCGTTACAACATAATATACATTAAAAATAAATGTGAAGTCAGATATCATTAAAAAGTACAATATTGGGTTCTTTTCTTTGTAGAACTTTGGCTTCTGTAATTTTATTAAATTTCCTAAAATCCGATCAAAAAAATTTGAATTAAATCTATTGCTTTGGATAATAAAATGCATTTGGTATAAATAATGTTTTCGGTAATAAGAGATCAATTCAACTTCAAAGCATGCTTTTAACATATAAACAATATTTGTAATATATGTATAAAATAATTCTTTTCGCAATCGTAAACTTTTCAGTCAGTTTAAACTGCCGCGTATGCAGGTAATTCATCATCCGCAATTAAAAGAGTTAATGTGTTAACCTGAAGGCGAACCTTTAATTACTTTCTTCTAACTAATATTTTAAATTTTACAGTGCTTTTTGAATGTTTAATTGAAAGAATAGCTTCTAATTTGCAGAAACAATCCATTAGCACGGCTGGAGTGAACTACAAAATTTTGAGAACAATTTGATTGACAATGTTTTAAAATAGTAAGAGGTTTTCAGTGTATATGGGCTATTAATGTAATTGACCTTAACTCGGTCTGTGCAAATTTGCACCAGGAAATTACTAATTTAGGAAAATGTTACAGAAATGCGTACTTGGTTGACTTTTATTGTATCGTATTCGATGGACACAACATAGGATTGTAGAAATTAAGAATATCAGCATGAGCTACAGCATGAGATAAACAGAAGAAATGAAAACCATAATAGCAGGTTAAAAAGTTGCGACATACAAGATGTATGCCTAATTAAAAAAAAATCCCCTCAAATAAAAAACCTTGTTGATTCTGCAGTATTATTTTCTTGGTTTGGATTTTTAATGTAAGTTATGTGCGTTATTTTTTTGCTCATCATGATACGATAATTTTTTTCAACATATGAATACCAATCAGGTGCCAGTTTTTTTTAACTAGTATTGTATTGCTTTGAATACGGTTTTTAGAAACAAGTCAAATTTCTGCTACTTATTCCTCATTACATGGACATTTCTAAGCACTTTTGAAATAACTTACATGTTCTACAAAACATGGTTGCTCAAAACAAATAGAATTTTACTTCTTTTCTATGTATATTTAATATCAAGTTGTCTTTTTATCCGGTTGGTATTTGTTCATACATCTTTTTTTTGATATTAAAACAAACATTAAACCGAAAATACTGGATTTAGATATTGCTTACCTTTAACTTGTGAACTTCTCTTTGCAATTTCAAAACTTCATTTTCCTTTGTACTTAACAAATTTTTCATTTCATGCAGTTCTACTTGAGAAGCGCTGTATTTCATTTCCATCTCAGTGATGTCCTTTCTCAGTCTTGACACAATCACCTGAAATAATGTTTGAATTGCTGCCAACATTTTTCGTCTCATTAAATCTAAATTCAAACGTCCAAATACAACTAAATATTTGCAATAATTTACAATTGAAAACGGGTGGTAATACCTGCCAAGCGAAACGTTGCCACGAAGATTTGAAATACGTGCATATAAAAACGTATTGCCGAATATAAAATCTATAAATACTCGTTAGGTCGATATTATTTTTGACCAAAATGCCAATTTCAAATTTTTGTGCAGATTATTAAAATATTAATTAACGCAAAACAGCTCTTACTCATCTAGGGAAAATTGAAGTATTTTTTCAGCGGGTTAATTGAAGTAAGCAACTGATAAATTAAGTGGAATATCACTTCATTGGCAGTAAATTTACCTTGAGATGGTCGTAATCTTCCACATAAATATGCGACATCTTGTTGGGTTTAAATTCGATAGTTTTCGAGTTCTTTCTTATCTGACTAATATTCTCTTCAATGGAGCTGCGCGATCCTCTCCTGAAGCTTGCCCCAACGGCGTTTCCCATTGGTCCAAATAGTCCAAATTCCTTAAAAAACTTCTCAGCTTCTTCTTCTTTCGTCGTCGGCTTATGGTGCTGTTCCTTATTATCTTTCTGGCATTCGTAGGCTAAAGCGGTCGCTTTGTGATAGTCAAGCTTGTGCTTGATTTCCGGATACAGATGGGCCGGGAACGAATGATTCTGATAGTCTTCTTTGGAAACTTCTACAGGAATTGGAAACGTGACTTCTGGGTGATTGAGGAACACGTTCGCTTTGATGGTGGGCGATGAGGTTGGAGTGCCAGGACTTTTCGGCTTGAGGCATAGGTGAGGTTGGCGGGCTGTTATTTCTGCTAGATCTATATTGGAAAAACGAATCTAATTAGAATGTGTTTTTATAAGTTTGGTTAAAAACTATGTTGTAAAAACTAATCCATTTACCTATTTCGGGGCTAGACAATCTCTTGGTGCTGTGACCATCATGTGACACCGGAATTGAGTTAGATCGCAAATCTTGGGAGCAACTGTTTGTAACTGTCTGCTTGTCTTCATGTCGGCACTTACACTTCGCGAAAAAACTTCCACACTGATGGTTGCTATTGTTAATATTCAAATTAAGACCTCGACCCACAGGATTGTTATCCCGGTCCACATTAACATTTCGTCGCGGACTTGGCACCTCTTTCTCTTCGGGGGATTCCTTGCGCGCATGGACCAACATCGCCGATATTTCCCTCACGGAAGCTGGATATGGATTGTTGATGCTGAATGATGATTCCTTTACGATCATCTTATTTATTGGTTTGAAACAGGACGAAGATCGGTTGTGGATCTCGGAGTTTGCCATATGGAAACGTTCGTCCAACTGAAAATAGACAATAAACATGCCATAATTTCATCAGTGACTAAATATTAGTTTTTGGTTCTGATCGGCCCATATTTGAGGGCCGGCCTAAAGTATTTTTGAGATAATTTTTCTGATGCCTTCCTCAAAATTATTTGTGTAATTTGGGATAAATCCACGTTCTCTATGAAACATTTTGATGCAGAACAGGAACAATTAATTATATTTTAGAAACGTTTTTTATTTTCGAGTCGGAACTGATCACATTAGTTATATTTCTGGTTATAAGGCATTGTCTCCAAAAAGATTTTTTGAGATTCGGAAGTTATGCAAATCATCCCGAAGAACAAGGCCTGGAAGCTTTTGCCACAATTTTCAGTAGTCTCACATTTCAAAATAGACTTTTTTGAAATAAAACTTTTTAGACAAAGAAGAAAACGTACTGAAATAGGTGGAGAAACTGAAAAATTAATTCGACTCAAAGAACTAAAATTAACTAATTACTAAGTTAATTACAATTCTAGTTTGGTTAAATTCGAAAAATTCAGAATTGAAGTTCAATTTATTGTGCAATCACAAGCTATTGCGGAAATTTATTTCAACTATTCAATATATTCAATTTACTTCGAATGATTCAAAAGTATCATAAAACAAAAAGACTGTTATACAATGGCGATTTAAAATTCGAAATCCGAAAGAACCAAAAAATTATCTCAATTGAAAGCTGGATGGAAACTGTGGATAGAACAGGCACGATTATACTAAACATTCGAGTTGATGTATACATTTATTGTCGGATTTTTAACGAGTTATACTGATTTAGTTTGCTGACACCTGAAAAAAGACTTTCCGACTATAAATTCAGACAATTATAGAGAAATACGTACAATACATTAAATACATTAAAGTATTAATTCATTTGCACATGTATACATATCAATAATGGAAACTCAGTTGAAAAAGTATTATTTCGATAACAGTTGTAAATGTACATTTTTAATTATCTTGCAGAACTTTTCCTAAGAAATTTCCTGTATTGGCTGGTCCACTTCGAATGGACTGAATTAATGAGCAAAATATTCTGATTTTTGCGCCATTAACTCCCTCAAAATACTGGATTGATAAAGAGAAAAGCCAATGTAGACATATAATTTGATAAGGAATTTATTAAATGATGATGAAGAAAACAATCGATTTGTTGAAAGAAAATTTCACAGAATTTTATGCTCATATCTTGGACCATTTTCAAGAAATTCAACAACACTAACCATAAAAGAGTAAACGGTTCTTCGAAGTAGCAAAGCAAAATGTCAAAAAGTTCTATGAATATTTTTCTCTTAGGTACTTATATCGGAACTTTTAATAACGACATTTGGCGTAACAATGTAGCAATTTTAATATTGGTTCACATTCGTTCTTCACAATCGCATTCAAAATATTTTTAGTATCACATCTAGAAACGTACCAGTTTTCTAGCAAATATAAAATTCTTTATTGAATTGCTATTCCTATTAAAATTTGTACGGGTTGTTGTTAGTCTGCAACTGATTATTACCAATTTGTGAATTTGATAAATAGTGCTTACATAATATTTACAGTTGATAAACAAATTTAATGGAATTCCGGTGACAACAGCTAAGGTCAACTGAAAGATGGCTGTTGTTTTTTATGTGGTTTTCTGTAGTTGTTCCAGATCCTTCTGGAAATATCGCCGAACAAAGTATAGTCTTGCTAAAAGCGACCCAACCGTATCCAAAACAATTTAGGGCTCTGTTGGCTATTCTAATCTAATCTCGGCTATCAGAGTAGTTTTGCGTCAACTGATCCGATCCTGCATTACAACTATTAATAAATCTCAGCACCCGATGAAAAGACATCAAACTGGTTTATCGAAAAGAAATTTCGTCGTCTGTTTTCCCACTGCCAACAGATGTTATTTATTCAAGCATTAAAAAAATGTTGAAGCAAATGGGCAATATTTATTTTGATTGTAAGCAGTATAAAGTCTGGATCGTAGGTCAGGCAATAGACGTAAGAAAACGATTATTAGAACGTATCTGGATGCCTTGATTCAATAGACTAAAAAGTTGAGTTTGAGGATCTGATTAGAAGCTGCACAATTGGTGTTGAGCAATGTATTTATGGCAGTAAATAACATTGGTCGGTATAATTGCACACAGAATGAATAGTTCCAGAATAAAATTTCCATCACAATACAGACTAATCCTAACAATAATATTCAACAAGGCTAGCTGAAAACAAACATCTGATAAGTATTAACGAGCAGCTACCTTTTTGAAAACCTATTTGCCGGAGGCAAAGATCCTTGTTTGTTAAGAATATTTATCTTGTTTGGTTTAAGTAATTAACATCTGAAATGCGTATATGAGTTGCGATGTTCAAATAAAATTCACGTGTTCTAGAAACTGGCGCACATTTACATTTCAGTGCATGTGAGACCTACCGAGACTTAAACAATTTGAATGCTAATTTCAATTAAAATAGAATATTTCGAAAGCTAACAAAAAGACTAGTTGGTTTTTTATTGAGGCTGAAAATTCTTATTGCCGCGTTTGAATAAAGATGAGCTTAGTGGTGACCTACAGGTCTTTGATTTCCTTCTAAAAGCTCAAATGTTTGCCTTGAAAATTATACTGCTTTCCCATCCTTGATTATCACATATGTAAAATGTATTTCTTTGGTCTCTTATCTCCTTCGGTGTGTTCACTTTTACTGCCTTTTTTTGTCGGCTTCCATTCAATATTGCTTCCAAATTTAGTCGTTGTTCTACTATTATCAGTTTTTCGATTTTCACAGAAAATTTGTAGGTTCAGGTTTCCAGTTCCTGTTAATTATTTGCTCATCTAGTGAGTGCTATAAAAATCGTTTCCGCTCGCTTGCTTGATCGATCTCTTCCCATTTGTTTTTCGAATATTCTTCTTTTGCAAATGTTACCTTAGATCTTATGTATTTTTATTTATTTAGATTTAAATGGTATAACTCTTAGCCCCGACTGTGCTTTATTGAGAACTACAAGTTACTAACATAAAATGAGTTACGAAAAAAAACTAATTTTTCAGGGGCAAAGAGACGAGCTTAAAATAGAGCGCACAGCTCATTAACATAATAACTCATGCAAATCATTTAGTTACTACAGGATTACCAAACTACAGGATGTTGAAGAAAGTCTTGTAAATTACTAATTTCGTATATTTATAAAATACTTTGCGCAAAATAGGTAAACCTAATTTTAATCATTCTCTTAATTTAAAAAATAAAAGACCCGTCCAGAATCGTAGAGACACCATGGAAAGAAAACAAACAGCTTTTTAATTTTTTCCTCTATTTTGAATGAATAAATTGATGCATGTTATCAAAATACCATGCATGTAAGAGCGTTGCTTGGAAATAAACATAGATAAGTCAAGAAGAAACAAAACACCTTTGTCAACACAAATATAAAATGTGCCCTTCTTTAGATATCCATCATTACTAATAAACAGAATATAATTAGCATTAACAACAAACAAAATGCGTAAATAACACGCAGCAAAAATAGAATTTCCGGAATTTCCGGTCCCATGAAGAATATATCTTTTCGGTTGTTTGTCAAATGTTTTCGTACTGTTTTATTGCCAATTTATTACTAATCCAGATTATTATTATCTATAGGAAAACAAGCATGGGGTTTGCAGTTGCACGAAATGATTACACGCAAATCTAGAGCAACAATCAAGCAACAAAGGCGATTATGGGAAAATAGGTAAACAGGTTTTTTGCCACTGAAATTGCAATTACCATATAAGCCCTTGAAAATTTTAAACGGTATTTCATTTGGCATTAATTAGATTCTTATTTCTCAGAAATACAAGTATTAAATCCGCTCTTGTGTGTTAAATAAACGAAAGGCTATAAAAAAACGATAAGAGATAATAGCAAAATATAATGACAACCTTATAAAGTTGAAAAATTAGACGAATTTGCTTCTTCAACCACAATCTACAATTCATCGCTTTTAGGTAGTAGTTAGCGCTAAATAAAATAAATACTTGAAAGTCACTTATTTTGTCTGCTTAAGTGTATGACTTTTATATTATTTTTATACGTATCTTGTAAACATTATTAAGCACTTACCTAATGCCAATACACTTTCAATGCGTGTATAATAATTATATATGACGTGAAATGAGCTTGCTCTAACCATACTAATTAAATTATTATATTTGGAAGTTGTTTGTTGAGAAACTGAGATCCGTATTTGTTTAGCTTTAATTTGGCACACTCGAGCAAACTGAAGGAACCAAGCTCGGTATTAAACAATTTAAAAATAATTATTTATGGGCAAATGCGTGGTTTGGAAGTTTGTACTTGAGCATTGAAATTGCAATTTTACATTGTATGCACATTTTATTTCACGTTTAGCCAATGAACATAATTTGTTGTTGGTGTTAATTACAAATAGAATTACATAATTGTTGCCGTTGCGTAAACTAATATATGTCCTATGCATGACTTTAACATTTCCCAACACTAATTAAACTTGATATGTATATTTATTTTTACGAAAATGCTGATTAACAAAATTTATGCTTTTTAAATCTGATCAAATCTACAATATTGATTCGGGTGAATTATTCAGGTGTTTACTGAAAAATATTTTATACACTTTTCCTCAGACAGATACTGGTTTTGATTTATTAGCATCAGACAGCTAATATTTAGATAACTATTTATAATACTTTTAAGGATTGTAAATTCCATTTAAAACTGCTATGCTTTGCAAGTGTTTGCTGTTGCTGCTAACGAGTTATAAACAAAATAAGTTATTTACCATTTAAAGATAGGCCCACTAACTGTCGGTGTTATAGATGAGAAATTAAATGAATTTACTTTATTTTTCATTAACAATTAGAGATGTAGTTTATGTAAAATAAAGGTAAAAATACGCATTTTAATGTAGATTAGAAATATATTTTATATGCATTGCAAAGGTATTTACTTCAAAATAATTGTAAATCTGACAGACTAGCTCAGGAAAGGTCGAACAAATCATCAAAAAACTATGGAAAAGTACTAACTGGAAATCGAAGCAAATAGAGCAAATGTTTTGGGTGAAAAGTAAGTGAAAAAAGTATATAGCAAGTAAGGAAACAAAGAATGAAACATCTGTACAACATGGTCGGACGATTTGAGTGCAAACTGGATGCAGACGGCTCGGGACCGAACTTTGTGGGAAGCTGATGACGATGATGATTACTTCAAACTTTTGTAAAACAATAGTTTGTTTTTCTGGTTTATCACTCACATGATTTTTAACTTTCCTGTTTAGCAAGTTCTTACTCATTGAAATGATAATATTTTTCTTTATATATTCTTACTGTTACCAAGATATATTAGTCCATCAGCAGCAGCATTACGATTAATCAAGTGCATTGATTTAATCTGAATATGAATAACATAGCAACGAGAAATAATTATTGTGGTAGGATCAAGGTATTAAATATTATTTCTCTTATTAAGATAGTCCCACACAGAGTACAATTATCAATCAAAAACCTATTTTTATTCAGGAATCGATTTATATAATGTGCTATTATTAACAATGCGAATATTAGATATTATCTGCTTGCCACGGGTTGAGGTAAATATTTAAATAAGAATAACGTTCGTATATTGTTGGCATCCCAAAAGATGTGCACATATTTGGCTTAGAGTATCGGCAAATAAACATCAAATCAATCAAACGGTTCGTTTCAAACCACCGACAGTTTTGTAAGTAAGTGCACGCGAGACATTCATGATGCAACCGATTAAAATCCTGTAGCTGATTAATTAATTTTTAAGTTAAGAACAAATACCTACGGTAACAGGTTCCAAAAACAATGAAATTACACTCCATATTAAACAAATGTGTTGTACTGACTGATAACTGAGAGCAAATATACAAATCTGCAACATATGGAAATGAGCACTATTTTTATAATTACAGGCCTCAAGATTGTGCAATCCGATTTGTGTACAAGCAGGATTAATTGCAGAAAAATGCAATTACTCAGATATGCCATCGATGCTAAATAATTGCACTTAAAATGGTTTTATCTCGATTAAATTATTTTCACTAACGACTGACGTGGGGAATGCCTGTCCTAAATAAATGAAATTGCTTAAGGTTTATGGCAAAATTGTGTCAGGATAAGTTGATTCTAGGACCTACTTATTTTACGACCTCCGCCTATATTGTGCATAAAAAACCCTAACTTAGTGAAACCTTCGAAAAAGGTCTAAAGAACTAAAAAAAAACAGCTTTCGCTGATTTAACTTGTTGTGATGAAGACAAGATGCACACTATATGGACTATATATTCTGTTAATGGTTTAGTCTTGCAATAGATTATATTTGGTCTGATGTCAGCATATCTTGTCTCCATGTTCACTTTATCAAGTGAACTCTATGCCTTATGTGCTTATCTCTTGTGACTTAACGATTAAATGTTGAGTTGTGCTAGACATTTTTTGTGGCGTGATATTTATTGCTGAGAATTCACTAGCAAATATTTCATCTTCTAGTTATTTGTCTTTTTCATTAATTAATTCAATGTTATAAAAGTTTTCCTTTCGATCGACTAAGCTTTATTAGAAGCAAATTAGTCTAGTATGTACTGTTTTCTTAATAACAGTCAATAAACCCAATAATTATTGCTCACAGGTCAATTATTTAATATTGTGTATTGACACTGAACGGCAGGCAAATTTAGTGACTAATCAATATTTGTTGAACACTCGTTTGTTTTATTATGCATTTAATCAGGCAGTTTATGGACTTTTTCTACGTTTAATTTCTTTTTCTTCAGGAATATCTTCTGAATTAATATTTTGAAATCAATTTTTTTTTCTGCAATAAATATGATTACACCCTGAAATATTAATAAGCCTGAAACAGTACTTTAAAGGAAAACGGATTATTTAAAAAAAATGTTAAATTGAAATATAAATAACAACACTTAAAAACGACCACCTAAAGAAGTGTTTGAAACATAAAAATAATTATTACCTCTAAGGTATTTCTTTACAACTAAGCAGGGAATGAAGTATTTCTGAATTTGATTGATGTGTAGCTCAAATAACGCAAAACATTAGTTCCATAAGAGTTTAAGTGTCTTCCATCTTTTTTATTTTTTTAACATCCTATAATTTACAATCTGTTACTATAACATTTAGTAAATGGTTTGGTGTGGTAAATGCTAAAGTGTTCCATCTTGGTAAGCATTAAATCTCGTGAACATAATCGTTCTAAAAGATTTGGTAAAATTCTTAATTTCAGTCTGCTTAAAACCAATTAAACGTGCTCAAATAACAATTTAAAGAATCAAAACATATTTTATCAAAGATATGTAAAGAACCAAGGTGACCGAATAACTTAAAAATTAAATAACCTAAATTTAATAATAAAAAAAAATAATATAGCGGAATCTGTGACTTAATAGCTTATTTTTTAAGCTGCACCGAACAAACCCTTTCCTGGCAAAAGAGTTTGTTCACGTACTTACAAAAATATATTTTACTATTTAAATCAGATAGTTACTTCTGAAAAAGGTATCGTTTTAAAAAATGGGTAGATTTAATAAATAAATGACTCAATATAATAATTATGTTGCGAGCGCCGTAATAATAGTAAAAATGCGAAAGTAAACTTAAAACTCAACTATCAATCCGAGAATAAGCCTCAAAAATGGAAACAACATTTTCAATAAGACAAGAATCTATTTCTTGTTCAGCTTACAGATTTTTAATATTTAATGTAATTTTACGGTCTTTTTGCTATTGACGTTCGTGGTCGACATCGCTTGTAATTTTCGTTCTTCACATTGAAATAACCACAAAATTATTTGACATAAATACAATACAATGTGATAAATTATGACTGAGGCAACAAAGTTCACATTCATTACGCAGATGCAGAAAGCACGAAGTAATTCCAAAAAATATTATTTATAGTAATTATCAATATAAATATAAACGTATTAACTTATTTTTTTTTAGTACTCAAATCAGTAGTTCTGTGATTGCGTTTTCAATAGTTAGGATATATTCCTGTAAAGGCATGCCCTCACCATCATGGAATCTAAAAATACAATTGGAACACAGTTTGAAAAAGTGAGTAACCAGTGCTTATTTTGACATAAAAAGATTAATTGTTTATGTAGAAATAACCGGCAATCTTATTCACGTCTTCAAGGACTATAGTAATAATTTAATATATCCTGCAAATCAGTTCATATATTTATTTATTACTTCCCTTTTCTACTTCCAGCGTATGTAAATTAAAATAACACAGTCATTCTCACTTACGTAAATTGCAATAAACTTTCTTATTCAGTCTGCTTTTAAAGTTAATAAGTTCTTATAATTAAGAATTTCCTTACGTACAGCAGTCGTTTCATGTGTTATTTAAATTTGATAACCAGAAATATTTATTTCACAAACCGGTTTTAGCAATTATTATATGATTTGCAAATTTTTGCAAAATGGAAACGTTCTTTTGATTGGAAAACTTTCTTGTTTTTGCGCAAATATCTTAGAGCTTCTGTAAATACAGCAGAAATGTAAAACATACTCCGATTAATAAAGTTTTGCAAAATATGAGTAAAAATAATTTGTTCCATTGACACAAATAGCTTACCAAAGTTTCACATTAACGATGATCATAAACAATAAATAAACGTCGAACCTAGTTCCACTAGAATAAATAACTGACGTTCATGGCCGTTTTAACTGTTACAGAAAAACACAATAACTTTCTTGCTAAATTTTAAAATCGAACAAAAACCGAAAAAATTAACAGCAACTTGTTTTCCACCGAATAGTTAACTGATGGTACGAACCTCGATTTAATTCTCGCTCATGTAATTTAGAATTCGTCGGCCGACCTTGCTGACTCTTTTGCTCATTATGCGACTCCATTATCGCTCGTAATCTTATCAATTGTTTAAAGGTAGGTATATCAGTAGAGAAGCGTATTTGTACATTATAGGCTCTATGCGTAATCATTAATAGCAATGGCTTTGGCTCCTAACAAAACTACCAGCGGAAATGTGCAATTCAGTGATTTCGCTTGAGGGGATTTAGTTGATCTCTTTCAGCTGCCATAGTCGCACCTCAGACAATTTGCTTTTACTTTTATCAACAGGAAATTAATCAACAATCTGAAATTGCTATTGTTTGTTTGGTTTTTGCATATGATGAGCGAACATCAAATTTGTACCAAAAATTCGAACTGTTTTCCATTGGGATTCATTTTTTAAACAACACATAGTACGAAAGCTATTGACTGACACTTGTATTTCAATTAGAAGATTAAACAAATTCGCCTTCTTATGGCCAGTGTGGTTTTGGAAACAGCTGTTCGGAAGATCTCTGTGGATGAGCGCCCAAACCACATGCGTATGTCCTTCAGCCATAAGTTCTGGCGTCTTCCGATGGATCTTTTTCCCTGAATCTTCCCATCCATCCTTGCTTTTTACTGCTGTTCATAAACCCTATTTGTTGCTCTTGGTATTGTTTATTGTTCTCTCTATTACGCTCCAGGTTGCCGTCGTCTCTTCTATCTTGATGTGTTTTATTTCTCTTTCTAGTGAGCTTCTTACTTGCTCTTTTATATTAGGATCTCCCAGTCTTCGAATGTCTATGACTTTTGTTCTGCTAAACAAATAGCAAACTCGATTTTACGAAATTGTAAAAAAATATATATACAAATTTTTTCAATATCTTTGGCAATTTAAAAATGTGCGATTTTAAATGTAAATAAATAGTTGTAATAAGCGAAAAGAAGATGTAAAAGTTGTTGACCCATTTGCGGCGAAATGAGCACTGAAATCCAAAAAACATTTATAAAAGGTTAGTTGCAGAAAAATTTGTCATGTATGATCTGTGCGTCTAACCGAAAATTTTACTCAAATGGAAAAGTCTATAAATGATAAGAAACCCTAGATGGCAAATCTGTACACGTGATCAAAACAAATATATATTTAAAAACGAATGACAGCAAAAATGACGAAAATGTTTGAGTAAAGCACAAATGAAGGATAAGGTGCTTTAGAATAGTTTCACCATTTTTTTAATCGTTTAAGTCATTATAAATAAAAGTTTGAATTTTTAAGCAAATTTATTCTAATGCTCAGCTACTGATCAGGACATTCGGGGTATTTTTTTTTTAAGTCAGGAAATATTTCTTCTGCTGAAATATTTTTACACCAAGCCACTAGACAATTACTAATCTCTTTAAAATATAAAATTATGTATGATTTTCTTCAACTCACTAAAGTAAATTTGTCGGGATAGAAGAAGAAGACGAATTATTTTTAAATACTTCTCACGTTTCACGGGATATTAAATTACATTGCAACCTAGATAACAAAAGTAGAAAGCAGTAAAATACAATAAAAATGTAACAAATTTACAGCGATTTTTAAAATACAGAAACACACACTCAAGGTTGCAAATTAATAGAAACTAGACGCATAAGAGGCAGTACCTCTTCGACAATCAACTTTTCTATTTTTCTAACTAACGTTAATTTGCAAGCCACTATTATTATTTTTTCTATTCTTCAATCAAACTGAGTAAAAGAAGTTCTTAAAATTTTAACACTGCACCTTGGAAGGTATATAGCTTTCGCTACAAGATGTTCGCTGTACGACGTTTTTATCAATAGTTTAACCAAGAAGTTCATCTGAATGTCTTTCAGTCTACATGTTTCAATAAAACATATTTTAAAAATGAAAAAAATAAAATTATTTTGCATGTTCTTCATTTCAAAAGTTTCGATTAACAGCGAGAAAATTAGTATTCGTCTAAACAACATAGAAATAAAAAATGTAGGGATTTTATTAAAAGGTGTTTAATACGGCGATTAGTATACACCAAGCATAAGACTAATAAGTTTTGGAAAAATCGAATGTGCGTCTAAGTGGAATATCGATCTGTTCTTTAAGTAATTGCTGGTTACAAATTGCATTTCTTTGTCACCTAAGCAAATATATCTTATCTGTTTTATACCGCTTAATAAATTTTCTAGGAAAGAAAATCCGTATGAAGGTCGTTTCTGACAACGATAACTATTGTCGTCTGTTTGTGATTGACATGATCGCTTAATAGGGGTATTTCGACTTTTATTAATATTAATTGTTTTAGTCTGTATTTCAAGTGATTTTGCGTACACTGACTTAACGCTTGTAAAACTTAAATTTTTTTAAATATTTTTTTTTATGACATAATTTCCTACTATAGTATTATCTAAAAAAAAAACGTTGTAGAAGATAGAGAAATCTGAAATAAATTGTGCTTGGGTACAAAAGATGTTTCCAGATATTTTAGCTTGCTGTTATCTCAGTGTGGTTAATGTTGGTTGCTATGGGTAAAAGTATCTAGTTAATTTATATTCAATGCTTCCAAGATTAGTATATTTTGAGGCAAGTAATGGAATGTGGCGCGTTTTCGCTGGAACAAGGATTAGTTTTCTGATAAAGAATTAGTGCAGACATTTTGCAACATAATTTTCCATGAAAAATAAAATAATGGTTCAAATCAACAAATGCACATAGTTGGGCTTCTAAATCATGCACTTATTGTAAATGATAAGGATTATTTGCTGTTGGATTTGAGTCGTAGATAAGTTGATGATAATGTAATTCTTAGCCTTTGTCATAGCGCTTACTTCTAGAAAGTCGATTCTTTTGGCAATTTTAGTTCAAACTTCTTTTTTAGGATACATAGAAAACTACTGCTTAAATATGTAGTTAACATTTTAGAAAATATGTCTCGATACGCCACTGGTCAGACCGAACTAATCAAAAGTAATCAACCAATGCCCATTACAACGCTTCTGTAATTTAATATCATAACAAGTCGTTCTATTTATTATTATTGCTTATTAGTTAACACCTCGTGCTCGTCTAGTTAAGGTTGTTTATGTAGGTTTTCAAAGAATATACATTTTTTTATTTTAAATAACTTGAATTTATTTCAGCCTCAATGTCCTGAAATAAAAAATAAATTGACACATACGGGGGTAGACTGTGTGATGTTTCCAGTCTAGATTGATCTGCCGGTGTTAATTGACTATTTTTTACTTTCATTCATATGCATATGTTTAGCGACGTTTAGCGGAATTCTCGCATAATAATGTTTAAAAATAGATGATTTTTTTCAAAGTGATTTGGCAGAATTTATAAACAAAAATTTCTATAACTGTGGTTAAATGATGTTTTAACTTTAATTCAAATAGTAATGAATGAAATAAATGCCAGCAGTGTTGATTGAAGCACACAATTTGCAGATAATAAACTGTTTAGTGTTTTAAGATAATGTCTCATGATTTATCCACGAAAGTTATTATTTTTGAGCCGCAGAAAGCAATTATTATTTTTATTTTATTATTCAATGATCTCTTGATTATTCAGTGAATTGTGATAAAATCTGGAAATATTTCTATAGCGAAACAGTTTTAGTGTTTCAGAGTTCAACTCATCGTGTCAAAGATGTCGCGCGTAGCCGAAGATATTAAATAATTCAACATCTGCTGGACTAATTAGAATTTAGAATAATCTGAGATTTTAAAAGCTATAAGCCGAAATATACGTAGAATGTAATTAAATATTTGTTTCCAACCTATGAAATGTAATTTAATTATCATTTCAAATGTATCTGGTTTACAAATAACAAAATACACAATGAATACAACAAAAGCTTTTCATCTACCCACCGTAATAAAAACTAAGAGCGGCATTTTGATTTGCGGGTCCTAACACTCACACACGGATTTAAAAGTATACGAAGCAAGCACTTAACTGAGGTTTATTGAATATCCATTCCTATAACGTATTTTTAAAAATTCCCAGTCATGCCAAAAATTGTTTTTTTCCTCAAAGCAACAGCCAAGTTATTAAGGCTTTTGCTTACGAACTAATTCAAGACAATAATACTTAATGTACCAGCAAGCTTTTTTCAAAAAAAGTGTAGCAATGAATTAAGAGTTGTTTTTTTAACATATTGGCAATTGGAACAGTCAACAACCTTTGGCAATATTTGTCACATTTGATGAGAATAACGTAAATCATCTATTTCACTTGGACAATAGTCGATTGATTTTAATGGGATTAGGAAATTCATGTTTTATGGCAAATTTTTGAACAGTTGGCATGTATTTGGGAGCATGTGTAAATATTTGCAGATTTCACTGTTCTGAACTTTAAAAATACTTTATGAGTTTCGGTGTGAATCAATGTCTGAACGGAGACAATAAATTTGAATTGTTCTAGATTTGAGTCAGAGTTGTAATGCAACATTTCTAGATCATTGGTTTATAGTTAGAAACTAATTGTATTTCGAGACATTTTAGTGCTGTTTTCTAACTTTAAAGTTAAATACTGATGTAACTAATGTAAAAGTTTGGTTTATATTAAAAGTGTTCTTGATAAATTAAAGGTTTATATTAAAAGTGTTCTTTTCTCTTCAATTTTTTATGACTACTTTTGTGTTTGAAGAACTTCGTTTGATAATGCTTTCCATATACTTCTAATAATATACTTTGCATCAAAATCCCAAATTAACCTTGTAATAAATGTTGATATAGTAAATATTTGATAAAACGTTTGAGTGTATACGCAAAATAAGGAAAAACTAGACAATTTTCTAACCCCTTTTTGATAATATAGTTTTAGTCTCAGCTCAACTGCTGTGAAGGATCAGAAAAGTTCCTCTTTAATTTTCTTCTAGAAAGATAAACAAAAGTCAATAATACTTCAGGATTTAAACAACTGTAATTAAAATTCCTTGAACCCATACAATTTTGAAAATAACAAACTTTGAGGCAAAAAAAGATTCAGAAGGTTCGAAAGTGTTTGTTAAATGAACAACTCCTTGAAGCATAATATTTACATTAAAATATGTTAAAAGGGTTAGTAGATACATCACGAATATAATAATTAAATCTCTGAACCTTATAAAAATCTCAGCAACAAAATTTAATTACATTTCATCAGATTTACTGGATATTTGATCTTGAGTAAAATACTCGTAAAAACAATCTCTCTGATGGATTTCAAAGCCCCAACATTTTCTAAAAGAGTCGATAAAAAGTCTAAAACCATCTTATTTTAAAAATCGAACGTTTCGAGGCGAAAACCAGTAGTACAATGTTTGCTATGAGTACTAAAATTTTAGAAATATTTGGGCAAGAATATGCCACCTTAAACTATATTTTTCTCTGCAACAAGCTGATCATTTAGCTTTCGTTCTTGATAGTTTGTGCACAACCAGAAGCAGTTTATCAGAAATAATAAGCAAAAGAAAAATAGTTAATACCAGAATACTAAGCCTTAGCAAAATGCAAATGATCAAAAATATTTAATTAAAATTGCACGAAACGATCCCTATTAATGCGAATTAGAAACTAGTAGTATAGTTGTTTCTGGAATTGAAAGCATTTCTGGAGTCCAAATTGTAATTTTGGGTTTGGATTGTATTAAATTTCAGTTTTGGTTGCTATGAACCATCATCATCACGTGCAATGAAAACTTGGAAGACTCAGGAAAGTTTATATTCGCAAAATATTCAGGATAAGTAAATATAATTTCATCTGTACTTAAAATAACATGACTAAAAAAGCAAAAATAGAACTTTGAAACAATTTTTGAGAAGAACATTTCAACCACCGTTGTTTCCCCAACGGAACTTTCTTATATATCACAATTTACAGTTTACAACGCTTACACTGTTACATTTACAGTTTACAACGCTTACACTGTTAAATTTACAGTTTAATACAAATCTTACACTAAGCATGAGGAAAACATTTAAAATATAGCTAAAGTCTGAATTTCTTCTGCAATTGTTTCATTTTCTTTGCCTGCGTTTCTCAAAATGTTAATTCTCAGTATAACTTAATGTAGCTATAAATATTTTGGCTGCATCATCTGTTGATTGATTCCACGGCTACACTACCACTCCATCCTTTACTTCTATGATGTTAACGACCTATTTTTATCCTCAATATTACTAGATTTATAATATCTTAAAATACTGAATGAACATGGGATAGGTTACGCAGAAAAATGCATATATTCTGAATAAAATTCCTGTAAGCAAGTTATCACAAAAAATAACAAATAAACCTTTCTGAACTTAAAAAAATATGATCTTTGACTTGACTACGGTTCTGGATTAGTTATACAAACATAACGCCACGTTATTGATGTAATACAACTGAAATCAACTTCCAGCAGCAAAAAATGAATCTCATAACTCAAACAAGTTTCTAAGCTTAAAGCGTTTGAACACGATTTGCAATGGACGTGAGCCAAAAGCCACGAGAATTCCGCTCCCGATCCTCAAAATTCAGCAAAAATAGAGGCTCGACGTCGAATGGATCCCGATTCCCGGTATCTAAGATCCAGGCTTTCACTATGTCTAACATGCGCATAAGATGATTTTGCTGAACTTACCGATCCAGAGATTAGTCATCTGCCGGCGGCCTCTTTAAGCCAACCTTTCAAATTTTGCAGAACTCAAAGCTGCTTTAATCTGTGTTTTCCAGCCAACACTTCGGTAAGCAAAATAACATTGCCTTTAATATGCTTCATTATGTAATTGTAATTGATTGCAATTTGAATTTGCTTTGTTTTTTTCGAGGATTTTTTCCCATTAATTCTGATTGTTGCAAAATATTTGATTTAAAAATCTAAAGCACTGATATCTAACGTCATATTTTTCAGGTGTTTTCCACCATCCAAACTAAGCCAAATTTTTAATTTAATTAATTCCGCGGGTTATTTAAATTAAAAAAATTGTGAACTAACAAAACAAAATCTAACACATACAGAGTCATCTTAAATTTCTACAATTAAATCGAGAAGAACATTGGAAACACATTGCATTAAATAGAAGTTACATAACAAAAGTGAGTTTTCGAAAATTCTGGACACAAACATTAAGGAAAATTCATATTGACATTAATTTCATACCTCTTTAATAAAATATCTACTTTCCTAAAACAGCACCTAAAAATATGAAACAAGAAATTAAATCATAAAATTACTGAAAGCATGCTATGTTGCAAATATGATCTCGTATTTTTACCAGGGATATTAAGTTTTCAGGCAGTTCGTATATACTGAGCGTTAAATCTGAAACTAATTAGGTTTTTTGTATTTTTAGATCGGTACTTTTAGAATGTGCGCGAGTTTATGGGTATTTTCTCTTAAATTAGCGTACCAATATATTGATCTTAAGCCGCAGTTTGTTTTAAGTAAAAACACAAACCGCAAATATTACTTTTAGCTGTCTAACCAAATAAAACTATTATTTGGGAGTTCTAAGTATTCGTACATAAAATTCAACAATTACAGATTTTCGAGACAGCTAATTTTACTGGAAAATGAGCAGAACTTTATTATTCGTGAGGTGTTCGTAAATTTTATAAAACAAGAACAATGTGCATAATTGATTCGCGATTACAATACCATTTTTGGGTTTTATTGAAAGAAAAAAAACGGAGAGCTCTGGATTTAAAATTGCAGGCATTTAAAATATTATTCCAAACAGTTTTAATGCACCAATTTGAATGTGTATTCCATACTACATTTCCTCAACGCTCTTTGTCAAACTTGATATGGACTTTTAAGGCCTCCCAAACGTGTTACATGCAAACGATGAATATGTTCAAAGGCATCCAATGTTGCTGTTCTTGACCTACCTTTCGAAAGTATTTCATTTCCACCTCGTTTTGAAAAACTCTGTGGAATTCCTGACATGTTTCACATTTCGTGATCCTACCTTGAGTAAATGATTCACTGGGAGGTGCTCTAAATGACACACAAGTTCGAGTGATTTAATGACGCATTTTCTGTTTTCTTATAGCGCCCACCATCTATGAGACTAGATTTTAGATTTGGTAATTGCTTTATGCGAAAAAGCACATTAGTAATCAAAACGTGCATTTCTAGAATGCGGAGAACAGAGTTAGTTCTTCCATTCATTTCTTTTAACTAAAAATAACGTAACGTAATAACGTAATTAACGTTAATTCTCATTTCTTATAACATCCTTCAGAATAATTTTAGAAATCTGCTTTTAGTCTTTTTAGAGTCTGCTTTAAACATTGATATTAATTGTTCGTTTAGATTAGTTTTTAACTACATACTTTTTTGTGTGCGTGTTAATGGATTTATTCTCCGTTGCGTTAGTTTACATAACTGTGTTTCTAATTATAACGCGGTCGAAAAGTAGCTCTAAATCGCAGAAACATCTAAACGTTTTCAAAATTTCTAACTCATCCATATACGTATTCAATAAATTTCCATTCAAACGTTTGTTCATGTATTTCAGCAATTGTCTTTATTGTAGTTATTTTTAGGATGAAAAGTAATATGCGACTTATGCCTTGAGAACAATTTTAGTAATTTTCTTTTAAATGTTGGGAGAATGATTACTCACTTGTTCCCCCGTTTCAACTGAATTTGGCAATGGTGAATGAATACTTGAATTGAAGCAAATATTTGACTTTTTGTTACTTTAGATGGATTAGAAAAAGTAATCAAATTAGTATTTGCAGCTTTTGTATTATATATATAGCTAGTTTTTAGACGCTATTTACTTTTTATCAACTTTTATTTACATAGACTGAGCTCATATAGACTATTTAGTAAGTCTAGATTTCTGCTTTTTAAACTGATTTTTTACTTAGCTATTACGCTTTATTTGTTCTATATCTTTCTTTACTTCAGCGTAATTACTGTAGCGGATGCCAACCATACCAAACGTGTGGTAGTTTAATGCATTTCTTGCTGGGGGTTTTAGTACAAGTAATTATGTATTTACTTAATATACAATTTTCCGAAAATGTTCAGTTTCTTCACAAGGCGTGAACGTTTTAATTCAAAGAACATGATTTATCTTTATTGGAAAAAGTGCTTGAAATAGTCGAATTAAATTTACAAGTTATGAAAGATCACACAATTTTTTAAATAATGTTTTATTTTAATGAAAACCAGCGAAATAAAGCTATTTTACTTAAAATAATTCATCCCTGATACAGAAAACCAAAATAAAACGTTTAAACTCCGTAGACCGGAAACTAAACGTATCCGGAATTTTATATAATTAGAGATGATACACATTTAGATTTCCTAGTTACATTAATTTTATTTAGAGGTTTCGTTTCCCTTAATGACAAACTTGAAAATTTGGCATGCCACGAAATTAGTAAAATGAAAAATTATACGATGTAAATGAAAATTTTATGCACCGAGCAGAAATAATACCAATAATAATAATTTTGGCTGTATGGTTTTTTTATACTTTTTTGTAATTTTTCAATAAAATCTCCCTATGTTTGGAAATTTGAATACATTTCTAATAAACTCGTTACTCTGCTACATTGTGTCGTTCCGTATTTTACAAAAATGTTCCACAAAAAAGCTATAAATTTGCTTTTCTTGAATGGAAATTGCACGTGCATTTATTTACCAAGAAGAAAGTGATAAGTTAATAATACGGGCTTCGTTACATATTATGCAACGGGGTAAAATATAAATGCTTCAAAAAATTATATTTTAAGTATGGACTTGTTCGTTTGCCGTAAATTGGCGTTTTTAATTCAGCTCTTATAACTATTCAGATTTTTGAGAATTTTATGTCTTGCTTGCATTACGGGTACATCCGAACTCTATGGTATTTATAAATCAAAAGGATTAATTGCAATTTGTTGCGTGATTATATTCATTTATTTCTGGGGGGTTTTCAATTGAGTGTCTAGGAAATCGAAATTAAAAAATGAGGTCCATTTGGCTTACTTGAACCATTATAAATTAAAAGACTTCCGCGCAAAGAATATTGAGAACAAAGTTGTCAACAGCTTTTCGACTGTAATGTTTTGAGTCCCGATAGTCTACGAAAAGAATTAACGACACATGATATTTGGTGGTCATTAATTCCTGTCAGGAACTCACTAAAGAAAATATAATTTATGATGCCAAGTGGTTTTGTTCAAACATTTTAATACACAAAATCGTTTAATTTTAAAATCGCCGTAAACATAGCTGAACGGTCCTAAAATTAGTGTTTTAATATCTTCTTTCAGCATTTAAGCATTAGCAGCATTGCAAAACTATTTCGAACGGCAAAATCGTGATGCTTTGACTGTGAGAGAAATGATCCGGGCATTTCTGTCGAGAATAGCAGAAACTTCGGAAAATATAGTTGTTTTTAATTTGTAAAATGCTGCCTAATTCATTGCAACACGGCTTATAAAATTAGGGTCAATGCAGAATTATTTTTATATGTTATTTCTATATTTCCTTCTTCAACAAGCATAGTTGACAGATGTTCAGCCCACTTCCCAGAAAAGACATGTCATTAACAATATGTTCAATGTGAGAGTCGGTTTCACTTTTCTTGTCAACGCCATCCATACAGAAAAAGTCGCTGATAATCCTCCTACAATCTCTCAATGGGAATCGAAGTTCCTGGTTCCTAAAATGGATCACCTGTCGTTTTATTTTTGTTTTACTCTGGGAGATCTTTTGAAAAGGTGAAGATGTGACCGAACCTCAGTTTGTGCCAGAAAGTCTTAGAAGAATGTGCGCGTGATAAATCCGATTGAAACAATTGATGTGTTGCAAATACGAAACTTGCTTTTTAATATCCAGGCAAATTTTCCAGGTTGTTTTTTTCGTTATTGCTCAACTTTTAGTTCAATGTCTTCCAGGATTTCTGCTAGGCTTTAGGTAGAATGACTGAATAGTCACAATGATTAATGAACTGATTAATTATATTTGGTTGATTTTCTTTCGATATTTTTATGCCCCTGAGAGGGCAATCGAAGGGTAAGTTTGTATGTGTTTATTTCTTTATATCCTCAACGCCAGATTAACTGAACACTAAGCTGAGCTACTCTAAACAGATTAAAAGTTTCTTTGATGTACGGTTTTCGCCTTCTAGAAACTTATTTCAATTAGCTGCCTTAATGTTTATTGTTTTTAAGAACGTGATGTTTGTTTATTTTGATTGCAGCTCGCCTGGCTGAAAACAGTTTCAATTAGTGTTTTAGAATATTCCTGCTATTAATTTCCGCTATTTTTTACAGTAAATATGTTAAATCTTCAATTGGGATAATCGTCGGTTATATGATACTGCAGCAATGCCTAAGCAGTAAGAGGTAAAACGATCGATCGTTGATTAAATCATTGATCACTTTTCATTGAGCATGAATTTTTTCTAAATGTACATTCGTCTCATTCATTTAAGGTTTAAATAGAAAAGGCTTAAGATTAACGTATTTATTTATTCTGATGAACTTTCACATGCTGATTATTTATGATAACATATTTTTTATAATTAATTCTCTAGGTCGGAAAAACAGATTGTTTAACGCTAATGAAACAGCCAGACAACATGATTAGACAATGAGTGTTGTTTTCAGTTTATGAACTATTTACGACGATATGATAAGCGTGCAATTAGACTGCAAACTTTCTACCAAGCTATAAATCGTTGTAGATTAGAAAGCAATGGTTTTATACACATATAAATGAATGATAATATAAAAAATAAGTTATGTAATATTTATTACAAAATGACAGTACAGATGTCGGTCTGAGCACATCAATTTATAAGCTGGAAAACATAAATATAAATATGCCGTCCGTAATCCATGTTACAGCTGGAATTACAGCCTGGAAGTTTGCAGAAATCCGCTCTGGTTTACTATTATTCACTAATTTGAGTTGCAGTCAATCTTGTCTCTCGATGGTTGCTCTTAACATTCATCGATGTTTGAAAAATATGATTTATAGCAGTTTTCCGCAGATTTACTTTTCTTAATTGTTCGGCCCTTCTGGTGTTTATTGTTCTCTATGTTTTTACAGACATTTTTCGTGAGGTTTCCTAAGTAACCACTGCCTGTATATTTTCTAGTTTCATTTTGCTACCAAAAAAATGTTTTTGTTTATGATCCCTTTCTTTCTGCCTCCAATTAGATTCTTTTTTATGGATGTAATTCCTAATTCTTTGTTTGACTGAGAGATTGATTTTACAAGCTAAACCATCTCAATTAGGTTTGGCTGAATTAAAACTGCTTATCAGTACATTAAACAATTATGAAATTGAAAATAAACTGTAACATTTTTAGAGGAAATTGAAGTCCAACAAGAATACTAGACAAAAGAAGGTATAAAAATCGGGCAAGAACCCATCGAATTACTATCAATCTTGTAGATTGTGAGCATTTAAATACGTTTGTGCTGCATTTCGTACACTGGCAAGTAATGTTTTTTTTTTTAAATAAAATGCGCATTCTAAGATGAATATAACTGAGTCAACTAATAACTAACTAAAAGCATTTTCTTACTAATAATATTTGGATCATTTAACTTGCGAAAATGAAAATAGTTGTTCATTACTTAATATTTTCTTGAAATATCGGATTTTAATTATATTAATAAGTTTGATATAATTTACATTTTTAGTGTGGATTTTTAGTTCTTAAAGGAAAATCCGATATATTTTTATTCACTGGATTATTTTTGTTTTCTGATCCATGTGAAAATAGTCGAAAATAAATGAAAGTAATTTGATAAAATGTTCATGTAGTAAGTTTAAAATAATAAATTCATAACGAAGAATTATTGCCGCGTTTCAATATGTTACTTCAGTGTCATTTGTTACAATGTTTTAAGACATTTTAAAAGTGTTTTTTTATATTTTCTTCGTTCTTTAGACGTCAATCAATTCTGCTCGTCTTTTACGCTCGGTATGAACCAACGTGTTTCCTCATAATAATCTCCTTTGAGTTGTCTAATTTTCCTTGATAATTTACCAGGTGATTACTGTAACGCATTTGAATATAAAATCAACTTAAACTTATTTACGACTTCAGTTGGAGAAGTCCCTTGAAATTTTGCCAAATAACTGCTGCGAGCAATTTGTACAGGTTTTTTCAAATGCCAACTGTTGAAAAAATAGTTAATTTTAGTATTGTATCTGTACAGGTTTGGACCAAGTCTGGGTGCCGACGATTGATTTCCTATTTTTATTGCAATTTGACCTGATATCTATGAATATATAGCCAATATGAATATCTTGCCAGCTGTCCAATTGGTAAAGATACAAAGTCAAAAATTCAAATTGGAAAATGGTGCTTTGCATCTTCCAAATCGAAAACTTTACTTAAAGTAAATTTTCTTTCAACTTCAACCCTTTCTTCTGCATGGTTTCCATGTAACTTTAATACTGTAATACTTTAAATCCTTAACCGTAGGTACATCAAACATTTTAATAAATATATGCAATACTTTTTTCGTCAAAAAGTCACAAAATTCAAGCCAAGCAATTCTTCCGAACGAGATCAATACACTTGATGAGAAAATTATCTTTAAACAGATAAACCAACACACATTTTTAGACCAAAAATGCATATCTATTTCGGTTTGCGGCTCTATTTGCACGATACTGCTTGAATAAAGCGCTAAATTACATTCAATTTTCGTTTAAATTATATTATTTTCACATGCTATGGAGACGCGCAGCTGGCAATAGTCCATTCTATATCCATTGGCGCACTTCCTCTAAACAAACCTGTGAAACATTGAACACAACCAATCAACTAGAATACTCTAAGAAAAGCAGTTAATGTTATTAGCGGTTTATAAGGTTGTATAGCAATTGAAAACAGCTCAGATCCTCTAACTAACTTCAAAGTAAATTAAATTTTAAACATATATATTCAATTGTAATAGAATGCGTGAATGTAATTTGTAAAAGTCGTTTTTAAGATGCCCTTGAGTAAAGATTCCTCCACAATTACAATTGATCATAAATTTTCACTAAGATATCAAGACTGTTTGAAGAGAAAGTTTGTTAGTTTAAAATATGAAAACTCCAGAAATATTCAAGCAAATACATGTAAATTTCGTTTTGCTTTGCCAATGTTTGCAGTATTTTCAAATAATCATGCAGATTTTGGAAAATATTGTAGATTGCATCGAAAAGCCTTCTGTACTTTCAACAGAAATTCATTAACCATTTGCATTAATTTGTCTGCTATGTTTTTGCAATTCAGTTATTGAGCCAAATCTAAAATTTGCTGTAAAGAGCATGTACTTTAGGAACTGTTCATAAAACCACCAAATCGACGCATTTCATACCACAAACTTCATGACACGTTTTTAGCAACTCTAAATTAATTTGCAGGGTCAGTTTTAAATATTGTAAACGAAAATGTATTTTTTCAGGAAACAAAGCGATCCAGACTTCCGAGAATCTCTTAGCCAGAACTTGAAACTCACTTGCCCTAAAATGTCTAACATGCAAGTGTCTGTTCCTCAAAGTGGAGCCGTATGCTCCGCAAACCGGGAGGAAGAGAGTGAATCTGTTGAAGAAACCACCTTGACTGAAGTAAGTGTTTAATAGCCTCAAATTAGATTAAAACTGCCAATTAACTTACAACCTCAATTAAGCACTTTCAACAAACTCGAACAACAATATTTTCCTGCAAATACACAAACATTTCTGCAATAAATTTTCTGCGTGACATTTTAACGCACCTTTTAATTGGCTGTTACTACCTGTGCCAACACGAGTGTCGTACACATTTATTAATTTCTTCTTCTCTGAAGTGGTTTATCTAACATTTCCAGAAATTAATTGCAACCGCTGTAGGTTTGGTGCTAATTTAATGTACCTTAAAACTTGCTTGTTAATGCGCCCAATATAGATTTAATTGGCGGTTTTGGGTGCTAATCAATCAGTTCCTTTCGAGCTTCTTTTGATGTGATTTTAAATATTATTAATCTCAATACATAAGCGAATATGCAACGAATCTGACTAACGGTCTAAAATGACTTTCAAATGTAGAATCACTTAAAAATTTGTGGAGATTTTTGTATTATTTCTTAAATATAAACTGAAAACTAACCACGCTGAAAACAGGAAATATGGAGTAAAAAATTTAAACTCGCCATATTTTATGTTTTTCAGTTCTAGTTAAATCAGTGCTCCTCTTTAAAACTCAATTATTTCTCTCCTAAACTCCAGCTGTGTTATACTTAGTGAGGTATAATTATGCACTTCCGAACTATTTGCTTATCTAATGGGCTCTGGAAAACGTTTACGAATAGTGCAGGTGTTGCATGTTAAGTGCAGTTGATCTGCAGTGTATTGAGGCGCCTTATGGACAAATTTGTTAACAGATTTACGGTTATTTTGCGCCAAGAACAGTATCAGTTTTCAAAATAGATACCTACTACTGAATCTAAATAATTTCAACTTAAGCGTACAATATTTGACAAATAATTAACACACACATTGATTTAGGTGCGTAAAGATTTGGGAAACTCGAAAATGCATCAGAAAACTGCGACTTTCGAAGGACAGGAAAACTCCTCTGTAGTGGAAGATCATCGAACTCAGCAAACTGAATCCACCAAAAGCGTGATGCAACAGGAAACGAGCACAATTTCCGCAAACAAACAGGTATTTAGTTCGAAAGTCGAAACATCAGAAAGTTTTTCGATGGAAGAGACTGAAGAGTATGAAATTGAGGGATGAAAGTTTGGAAAGTTGAAAGTTGAGAAAGTTTGGAAGGTCCTATTCGTTTGAAAGTGAAAACTGGCTCCTGCTTGCATTGTTAAATTGCCACGCTGATTAATGTAATGTTTAGCTTTGCTGCTAATTGGAGATTTCCAAACTTTCAAGTGCAAGTAAATAATTAATATTGATAGATTTAGGAAGGTGTGTGGTGTCTGGAATAAAATACATATCAGTACAGTTTGCAGGACTAAATGAATATAATAGGGCTCTCCTCTTGAAAAGTTTTCAGAAATTATCCATTTTTTACTAATGTTAATTTTTCAAGTAATTATCTAGAATTATTTTTAGGTCCCCTTTACAGCATTTCCTAAGGAATACCTTATTTGACATAGCTTTTCCTATTGTTTGCTGAAATATACGCAAATTAGCAAAGTTCAATTGTAAATGGATAGTTTCTGCAGAATATACGCTTCGCATTTTTTGTTGATTTTTTACTTCTTCACTGTAAGCGATTTTTTGTATTCTTTCGTTTTATTTTGCATTTATTATGTAAGACAATGAATGTGATATTGAAGGAAAGACATTAATCACCATACAACAGAATGTATTTCACCATTGTTTATACCGAAAGTTATATAGAACTGGCGCTTTTTTGTTTTTTCGTGTAGTTTTAGTTTATCCCATGAAACATTTCTGGACTGTTCTATTTGTTTAGTCGATTTCCTTTCTGCTTATTTGTGGCCATGAAAAACATGTATGTCTTTTTTTTCAATAAATGTATAGTAATAGAATTATTGTTGGTTTCCTTTCAGACACTGGGCTTCAAAATGTTATAAGATGCGCCTTGGATGCGCTCAGTTCTATATAGCTTCTGGTCGTGTCAGTAATTTTGTAGACTTGTAACGTTTTGAAGCTTCAGTTGCATATTTTCCTACTACAAAACTGTGCATTAGGGGTTCTGCTTACAATGTTTGTACACATTTGTTTGCAGTCTAAGCCAAGCCCAGCCTTCTTTCCTTTGCACTGTGATCAAGAAAGCTTGAACTGAAGCTCAAAAACTCTTAAGGTTTTCTTGATTCTTCTTTGATATTTACATGTGCAGATAGGTAAGTGCTCAAAATCATGCTCGAAGAAAAATTTGGACCATCAGATTTGAAACTGGGAGAATTCGTTCAACTATCTACAGTGTTTCTTGTCGAATTCAAGTACAAATAATAGAAAATGTGAAACTCTAAGTAAATCATCTAAAATAATTCGTAATATAGCAAATGTTCCATCATTTATACGCTATGAAGTTTTTTATATTTGCCTCAAATTTCGCTGTTTTTGATAATTCTCAATAATTGATTAATTTTGCCAGTTCTGTCTTTCACACTTCGATTAGTACAACAGTTTATAATTTGACTAAGACAGTTAGTAAACTTGGTGATTTGGTTACGTTTTAAATGTGCGTATAAACAAAAAAATATGCTTCAGTTCAGTAACAAGATTTTTTATTAGAATAGAGTACCGGTACTATATTTCAATTGCATGACATGCAGGTAATAAATTGGAATGTTCTGGCCCAATTTCCTGAAATTTGTAACTGAATAAAATCATTTTTCAATCCACTTTATTTTACTATTTGGCCATAAAAAAGTTTTTTTAATTACTTTACGTTTCAATAAATTTTGTAAATCTTCCAGTCTCTTCTGCATCTTTGCTTCTATGCTCCTGCTTTGGCAAAGAAAAATTCACATATTTAAATGTTTATTTCCAAAGCTACACTCCAACAAGTTATGCATAATTTGAGTTACTTAGTAATATTTATAACTTTTCGGAAGTGGAAATAATTTAATTAGTAACCAGTGCTACGATTTTCAACTGAAAGTGCGCTACATAAAATCCTCAAATTAATCCTTCCTTTCCTGTAATATGATGAAAGCGTTTATTTGATAAGCGGTTAAGTGATAAAGTTTAAAGTAAGTTTTTTTTGAAATTCTAAAAATATTAAAGTAAAAACAAAATCTCTGATTGTTTAAATCTGAAATTTTTAGCATTCTTTATCATATCATTGAATCCCATTTGAAAATAGCGTAATTTTGTGCAATGTTCAATAAATCCATAAGTGGAAATTAATGCAAATATCAGTAATTTGCCTCTTAGTCTGCTTTTATCATCACTTATTTCACTTCTACAGATCTTTTAATGTTATAATACATTTTTGATTATTTAATGGTCTGGATATTTAATAGTTGTTACCCTATCAGAGGACAGTAGCAACATTATAAACTATTATATCGGAAATATTTCCGATATAATAGAAAATAATTTGTTTTAAGCTATTTATTCACTAGCCCTGGACTGAATAGAGCTTCAAATATAAAACAAACCTTATATATTTTTATAGCCGCTAAAGTCTTGCAGTATACAGCTAACTTAGCAGCAAACAGTTAACTCGTTTAATTTGTAGGGGCATTTGCATTTCAATAAGCTTCTAGCTTCTGGCAGATACAGATACTTGAAAAACACGGCCATCTGGACATTAAAAAATCTGTATGTTCAAGACATATACTTACTCATGGAAGAGCCATCTGTACCTTCTTAGCTTAAAATTCAAAAACAAATTGTAGCTAAATGTAAACTTTAATCAGTTTTTCAGAGATCTGTTTCGTCTCTGGATGTTAGTGCTTAGAGAACGAGCACTGGTAAGTTGGATGTTTAGATGTTGTCAAATATGCACACTGAAGCTTAATTATTAAAGAGCTCAAAAGCTACAACTAATCTACAAAATTACTGTATTGTAGTAACAATTGTTTGATGTATAAATCTCCGCTCTAAAGCCAAAGATGAATTTTCCTAATTTTTTGACAGGATCTGCAAGAAGAACACAACTCAAACACACGTCCGCCCAATATTTCTCCATCAAACCCACAGCGGAATTATTACCAGCCTTTGCCAGTTGATCCAACAAAAACATTTGAACCTCTCAAACCCTTCGAGCCTCTTAAGCCTTTTGAGCCACCCAAACCTTTCGAGCCGCTTCAGCCATTTGAAACCCCGAAATCCTTTGAACTTACCAAACAAGTAGAAGATCAACGATCAAATGTGAATCGGGAGCCTCTAATTTATGAAATTGAGAACATTTATTCAGACGCATTGGCGAAGATTGGCAATATTGGATCTAACAACCAACCTAGTAATCAATGGAATGGGGACTGGTCGAAAGAAAAAAATGTCCAGTTAGACTTGAGTGAGAAAAAGTCGACTACGAGTAACTCAAACGGGGACATCAACAGATCAGTTTCTCCCAATCCGGCAGCAATACAGAATCAATCCATTGAAGGGGGCACTGAGCTGGAAATTCCACCTCCTTTGGACTACACCAAGCTCTTAGATCTTGAGCCTATGAAAGACTCAAATAACAACGAGAACACAAGTTCATGGCTGCCTTCAGGATATGTTCCGGTGGAACCTTTGTCACCTCTAAACCTCTCAGATTTAGAACCTTCACAACCTCCACTGGTTCCTCAAATTACTTTAACAAGCGACAGTAATACCGATGTACCAACGGTTCTGGCAACGCAAGAAGGTAAAGCGGAAATCAAAGACGGGATTATCAAGAATTCACTGAAAGAGATTATTTCGGATCTGGATCACTATGCTGAAAAGGACAAGGAGTTGAGGCAGGATGGTGGTGGTATGTTGCCATCTCTTCAGCAGGATTTATTGAGACAAGTAAGTAAAGGGGTTTTTTCTGTGTTTATTGATTATTTGCTCATTGTGCGTTTTATCCACAGGAGTCTGCATCAATTCCTGAACTTTTTTGATTGTATCATACAGAACCACAAGCTGAATTTTCTATTATTTCTACCGTACAAAGTTTTGATATTCGCAGTTTTGTTTCGCAAATACTATTTTTGAATTAGTAAAAGTCATTTATGTATAGCGCAGCATTTTGGTGCAATTTCAATGTTCAAAAGAGATTCTTGGATGTCAGTAAATGGTGTAGTTTATGTGAAAAATCTGCCCTGTTTAAGACGCTCAACTTTTCAACGTTATCAACTAATTGATTTCACCTTTACCCTTTATTCGTTCTCACTGTTTTGCATGACTTTTTCAGAATCATAACAAAATCTGGAAACCGAATCAGAGAAATACCTGGGTTGCCACACTACCATCAGGCCTACCTACCAAACCGCCAAAATATCGTCCCATGTCTGTACCACCCGAAAGCACATTCAATCATTATCATTTCAATCAGGTTAGACATGAAATCTACATCACTAGATCATTACTGAAAAATATGACAAATCATATCTGAGTAATTAGTTTTATTTTGTCAACGTAACATAACTCGTTAATGAACTAAAGATAATTTCTTACAGATAAACAATGAAGTTTTGGACAAATTTAGTGACCTGGATAAAGCTCAGGTAAGTGTCCTTTTTTTCAATTTAATTTAATTTAATTTAATTTAATTTAAATTTTTTTTTACATATTTCATAAGGATTGTCTCGAATATTTTCGATAATAAATTTATTATCACTTTGGCCGTACTATAAGCAACATTTAACAATTCTGGTTGTTTCAACTTGATTGAATAGGTTTGCATACCAGTTTTTTTAATGTTGTCAACTAATAATAGAAAACGCTTTTCGTATCCTTTGAACAACTGACACAATTTTTGAACCGACAATACACTAGAAAGTTAAAAATATGGTGCAGATGTTCGAAAATTTAAAGAATAGCTGCGGTTATTTTTGTGTGTTTTCAATAGAGAATATTCGCAAAACGTTTTTAAAGTAGGTATTTATCCTTTAAAGATTTTGCGTTTTCTTTATCGCTCCATTTTAATGAGCGTTTTCGTTCATAAAAAGTAATTTTTATGTATTTGTACAAATAAATGTTGCTCATTTCGGACACTTGATTGATTCAAGATGATCTCCGATATTTTAAAAGATTCGCTTTGGTCAGGTAAAGGTCAGGTTAAAAGTACTACAATAAAACTAGAAAATTATATTTGAGCATCTTCAAATAAAAGTATTTTATAAAGTTTTGTCATTGTCAACTTGTTTCATTTTTTATGAATACTTTCCTGATTTCTTATTTGCTGATTAGCATGACTTAGGGCAGCGCAAGAATTTTGCATCTTTAATCTGTGAAGAATGATCATGTATGAAAATCACTACTTTACGCCAAGAAAATTGCCACGTTTAATATAAACGTGAGGAATAAACCGCCGCAAAAATAGATTTGAAAACGCTCATTTCACCAAATCAGAGATCTCCGTATTTTTGCAAGAAAATATGGTAATGGTGAAACACTAAAAATCTGGTCTACGGCATGAAAAAATACTATGAGAAGAAGTTGGTGGGTACACACCGGATGAAAATCAATCAAACAAATTTTTTTGCAATGGAGTCTGTATGGAATTATTTTTAATTACATACACACTTGATTATAAAAAACGTGTTTGATTGAAACATACTATAGTAAAATAGATTTCCCTATAATGATTTTCGGTACCTAACATGTTTCAAGTTCTGAGTCCTTGAAACTACTTAAAACTACAACTTTAATTGATCTACAATAATAAGTCCACTCTTTATTTCTTCAAGCAGACCCATTTTTCTTCTACTTCACGATACATATTTTGTTATCTATATAATGCAATAATTCAGATGATTATTAGCTTTTATTCAAAATCCATCAGCTGTAGAGTTTCTTTAATAATTCGCATTTTGCACAAGATCATGTAGGTATCGAAGAAGCTAAAAAAACGTTTTTTCTGTTATTGTAATTTAGTTAATACTAACTGGCCAAAAGTTTTTTCAAGGTTCCTTCCTTTTCTTTTACTTTATGAACGTTTACCTGATAAAGATAAACAAATATAAATAGATAAACAAAGCTATTAATAAACTTGATTTTATATCAGTTTTCAGAACATTTTTAAAAGTCTGATTAAACAAAATAAAATAATGTTTAGAAATAACTTAAATACCAGCTCTTCATTTGTATTATGTGTGTCATTTACTATTCATGTACCAAGTAAAACTACTGTAGGAAAGTAGCTTAGTTAAAGCTCCCGAAAGCAAACACTCAGTAATGTTTCTTGTATGAACTATAGATTACAATGTAAATGCTCATTTACATAAACTAAATTAATGAAAAAAAAAGTCCAGACTGGGAAAGGTTAAATATATATGACCAGTGATACATTATTTAGATAAAAATGCATTTTTTTTGAAAAAACTTTATTTGGTGCTTACTCGCAAAAAAGAGAAACATCGGGAACAATTTTTATTGCTGTTTTGCTTATTGTTTAATTATTTATTCTTTGTTTTGAATTTCTGTAGTTTTCCACCATCTGTGTACAGCATTTCTTCGTAATTACTAAAAAATGCGTCTTCGTCTCAGCGTCTAGCAAAGTGCGGAACGCATGAACAATATTTTCTATCGTATTTTGATTGCTATGGAAAATCTTTGTATGCAAACTTTCTTCAATATTTAACAATTTAAGTTTAAAAATCTACCTTTGGCTAGAAAAGAAAAAAAAAGCTGTTTTTAGTATTGTATTAAATAATATATAAAAATAATATCACAATATTATCAAGAAGCAAAATTTAGTTTATTTCAAAAATTTCATACATTTTTATCAAAATTTCAAATGTCAATATATCGAAAAGAATCCAGCAAACGATTCGTTATACCATTAGAAAAACTTGCAGAAACACAATTACAAATCAGTATTATGCTCAACTTTTTGAGTTTTCAAAAAGTTGTCTTGAGAACTCTATACAAGTTTTGTAAAACTACAGCAACCATAAAAACTATAATAATTCTGCTGTTTCAGTTTATTATTTTGCTTCAAGATAATCGACCACTGAAAGATTAAATGCAACAACTTAGTTTGCAGGAAAGCTTTTGAAGAGTCGGCCAAAGTGCAATGACGCAACATGTTTCCAAGCTCCTCGTCGTTAATTATACATCTCAGATTAATCGATTGGTTTCCAAAGGTTTAACTGCTCACTTCTCAGATTTTGCTCTCACTAACTCTAAATTTTGTTCTTGCAGTTGCAGAATGAAAAATGTTGTTTCATATTTTCCGATGATTCTGTAAAATATCAGCGAACTTTGACCCGAAATCTTTCTAGCTTACTCTTTCCACTAGATAAACTGAGCGAAGCCACATTATAATTGAAAAGCCAGAGCAGAAATTTACATTAACATCATCACTTCTCGTGCTCGGTCCTGAAATAGCTCCAGACACCGTTTTCTAAACAACTGAAAATACAATCCGTCTTTTTTGAGCGTTTTTAACAACGATTTTTGTTTAGGAAATGATTTAATATGCGACTGAGCCTACATGGAATAAGCTAGTTCTCCAAAAACGTTTTCGTACAACGTTAATCGTTGATTACTACTTTCGATATTATTGGAAATCATCCAGAAACAAACTACATTCGCTAGGTGCTTGCTCAGGATATTTCTGGAGCGGTACTTTGTTATATAGATTTCACACGATCGGTGTTATCAAATGCGGTTGGTGTAATCTAAAATGTCTGGAAAATTATCTATTCTTGTAGTCCAGCGATTTTACTAATTTCGTATCGTGCGTGTAAGTGTCAGTTCTGAAAGTGCTATTTTTGGGCTTAACTTATAGTGACACGCTTAAATATAGATCAGAGAGGTTTATCGGAAAATATTTCATATTGGCTAATTATTTGTAATAGGAGTAAGCAGCACCATGTAATAGTTCGCATAAATTAGGAAACTATCTAGGTTGAACTATTTTTGTTGCAGCGTTTCTCCATGCACTTGCTAACCTTCATGTTGCACTAACATCCATGCTGATTACTAACTATCCTATAAATAATGAATTTCAATGAATCTTTTATATTGTTTTACATTGAATTAAGATCTAATAATACATTCGCTTACCAGTAGCTAAGCCAGAAGCAAACGCAGTGTTTTTTTTTGGATTTGTATTATTGTCGGTTTCCCAGAAAATGTTCATATGTATGGAGGAACAAGGCTAAATGCATAGCTGCTGTTTTAATGCTTCTAAAGGGGGCTTGTTTAGAAATGGATCGATTAACGTGGTTTGGTTAGCGAAAAATTTACCCCTTTCATGCGATTGATTCAGCTAGTGGGACTTAAAAAAACTTATGTAATCTGTAATCTTTAAATACAGCCATTTCCTACAAGCAATAATTCTAAATAGAAATACCAGCAATGCTTTGGCAGGAATTTGTTTTATGTAGGAGGATTGCGAAAACTTAAACACCCAATCGGATTTGGCTGCACTGTGGTTTTTCCGACACATTTTTACCGGCTCCATTAAAAACCATTTCTACCCACGTTTCCAATCAATTAAATTCAATCCGGAATATTTCTGCATCGTTGATGCCTTATTTTGCAATAAAAAAATTTATTTCCAATTTACTAGTTTTGTTTTTAAAACTTAAGTTTATATGTGTCCGGTCCATATATATAATATATAAAATTATTAATTTTATTTCGTGTAATGAAAATGTTTTAGTTGTTTCAAATCAAGCTGCAACAAAACGGTGGGAATTAAAGTTATTTTCAGCATTCACTTTTCGAGAATTGAATAATACCTGAAATTTGCGTCAAAAAGTCACTTTTCCCGATAATATTTGTTTCATATTTTTCCTCAGATCGCACCTACTTTTGGCTTTCCAAAGCAAAAATTACACTTTCCTCTAAAACATTTAAAGTGCGTTTATTTTCCTATACATTGTATAAAACTATGTAAACATCCATCGGTTATTCTCCAATCCAAAAACAATAATCAAAGTCTGAGTTTCTCTGTTAGTGTTATGAAGGAAGCTTCAAGTAATAATTTTAACTTTTGAATCAATTTGAAAGAAGTTAAACGTGTGCGTAGTTTGCTAATGGCAATAGCTATTATTACTCCAAACACCTCTTACGTCTTAAGTCTTCATGCATGTGCTAAAAATAATGCTGGTAGACAACATTAACCTCTCGGGAATTATGCATGTCCAAGTTTAATGTCACAAGTTTACGACTTACACCGTCTGAAGAGATTAGTTGTATGCGAATTTTTCAATAGGTAATTAAGAAAACTCTAGTGACACTGCAACTAGCCCAAAAATAGCCTTACATGTGTCGTAATTATCCGTATATGGATAGATATAGTCAAGAAATGGCCCTCAGATAGCATTTGCAATTCTTCAGTACCCAGGTTAAACTCAACCTCATCATGCGTTTACTATCCAAAGTGGTCGACTCCAAGTCGACCCAAAACTCTTCATCATACTCGGTTTCGAAGAAATCTTACTCAGTCTCAAAAAGCTCCAGTAGCTCGAAATTTCTTCCATCCTCCACGGCTTCCACACCTACCGGCCAATGGCCCTCGAAGCCTTTCAGTCAAATCCAAAGAAGTCAG